TTTTTTTTCAAGCACTACTCGAAAGCTCGATAAGTTATCGTTTCTTTGTGTCAAGCTAAAACGAGATGAATTCTTTTCTAACTTTGTTTTCTTGCGAAGTTTTCTAAGTAAAGTTTGACCTCCTTTTGATTACAAAGTTCCTCGAAAATTATAATCTCTAGACATTTTTAGACAAACGTTTTGAAATAAACAGCAATTTAATAAGAGTAAACATGCACACTTCTTTTATATATTTTATTTTTGAAAAGATAAAAGACCACAAAATTTATTCATGGAATATTAACTAGAATATCTAGAATATTAACTACGTATTAGATGTTTTCATGATATTTATACTGTTACAAGAAAAAATGGAGAACGCAAAAAAGATGCAACTTCAGCAGTCCGTCATAGTCAATATTCTGATAACATACTAGCAAATCTCTCAGTATTTCTTCTCGAACTTTACATTTATGCACGTTAAGAGAGCCTTAAATATTTAATTCATCATACATTAAATATTTAATTACTCTTAATTTATTTAAAGTAAAATTCATTGATATCTGTATCTCATTATATTCATATAAACAAATTAAATAATTGAATTTTCGTTTGAAATTAATATCATGTAAAAAAATATCGTCAATTACGTATTTATATATAATATTTTATTTTGGAAGAGTGACATGAATATTAATGATGTTATTACTTAACATAAGAATTTTGTTCAGTAAAGCATGAGTATTATATTCTGACTATTGCAGAGTCTTTTACCTGTGAATATATAAAATACAGCACATTGACAATTCAAAGTATCTGCATTTACAGATTAATAATACATAAATTTACGAAAAAAAAAAATTGTAAAAGGCACGATAATATCACATTTATTTATAATATTTAAACTTACTTTCTAAGCTGATGATTTTGTAAAATGTGTGTGTGTGTGATTACGTTTGATTCCTATAAAAGTATTGGCAATTGCAACTATAAAAGTATACGATATCGATTTATTCTCAGCTTCTCGATAAAAAAGATCACTTGACGGTAAGAATAATATCATGTTACATAAACTAACAACGAAAATGAGAAAACTGTTTTTGCACACATAAAAATCTACTAACATGTCTACAGTGACTTTGGTGATTTTCATTGACTCTTCCAGATCTATTCTTTCCGAAGATCATTGCGCGTAATATCTTTGTTTCACAATCAAAACCTTGAAAAATGTGTTCTCAATCAAAGCTTTGATACATTATATACATTTTGCCATACAGTGAAACATTAGATTGTATTAATTTTTATTTGTTCATCTCGCACTCTCTATTTACAACGCTTAAATAATGATGAAATATTCTGGCACCGAGGTTCAGAGCGTCCGATAATCCATTCATCGACACATTATAATATACCCCATGATTAAAGCCACAAAGCGTAACAAGAAAAATAATTTTTATCTTGATGGGGTGTATATTATTCACGGATCCCTTATAATTTCTAGGAAAATTAAACTGTTTTTCAGAACAATATCATTTTCGACAGCCCATTTCACAGATTTTCATTTATCACTTTTGTTTCACACATTCGTCGATTAACCAGCAGGATTGGTCCTCTTTTGTCTCCTCTCTTTGGCAAAGCGCAATATGTTCGGATCAGCGTAAATCATACTAGCCAAAGTCTCGACTCCGGCATATGTGTCAGTCTTGGATCCAATGCACATGGACAACTGGAGGCTAGAAAGCTCCCGGCTACATTCTATTTCGTGATACACGTGCACCAAATGCCTGTCCGCCGCTCTGAAGACGTCGAGGTCCGATTTTACCGCCTTTTCAAAGAATTCCACGTCCTCCTTACCCCATCCCTGAATCGAGAGATCCAGACCGCCCAGGGCACGATAATCTCTCTTATACAGAGAGACGATCCCGAAACCGTATTGCCTCCAGTGTCCGGAGATCTCGTTTATAGTAAACTTGTCCTGTTTCCCGGCATCGCCGTAGACAACCTTAGGATCATATTGGCTGAAAACAATTGGAAAGTACATTCTCTGGCCTGGTAGAGTATTCAGCCGTATCCTGTTCAAAGCCGAACTCGTGAACACGATGTCCACGTCGATGAACAACATCAGATCATCGGCCTGTAGTTTTGATGCACCCAAATCTAAGGCTCTGGCTCTGGAAAAGTCCCCAGAAATTGGTAGAACCTCTATGCTGGCAGTGCGATATTTGTACTTAAGCTGCTCGATCAGATCTATTGTTTTGTTGAAAGAATTTTCACTTTTGTGCTGGTAGAGCACGACGAGCAGAGACGTCTTCTCATCGCTGGTCAAACAGATATCTTCGTAATTCTGAAGAAACCTTTGAAAGATTTCGTAGCGGCCTGATAGAGGTATGATAAAGTTGATGATCTTGCCTCGTACTGAATCTTCTTCCTCTGAGTTGAAATTGAGATTTAGAAAACCACCATGAAATAAACTGTGAATAGGTTTGTCATCTGATTTCTGACGAGACTGGATCTCGACGCCATTTACTGTCTCGCGTATCTCTAATCCTGCAAAAACATACACTTGTTGATTCGATAAGTACTTAAACACTATTTTAATATGGGTAAATATGCACACAGAAAAATATTATTCTATTGCTAAGTAAAATGATTATTCAGTTTACTTTACTTCTTTTAAGTAACAGTTATCTTTAACAAAGAATATTTTCTTAATAATAGTCTTAAAATAAACTTGTCACAAATTTTAGAAATACTCATTATCATGTACTCAAAATAAGTTAATATTTTCTTTTGAAGAATATTATAAAATTTTATCGAAGAAAAGTCAGATATGATTAATTTAATGTAAGAAAATTTATTAGATCAGAAAAATTTAATGTATTTCTTTCAATTATATAGTTTAATATTCTTGATTGAAGTATTAAATTTATTAGGATTCAGAATATATTTTGAATAATGCTTATGATGAACTTATGATAGATTTGCGGATATATGGACTTTTGAAATACTTGAAACAAGTAATATTTACTTGTATATAGTATGTATTTTTCTGTGTGTGCATATTAAGTTACACTTCACCGATGACTTTGACTTTAACATATGTTGTCAAGGACATGACCCTGAGTAACTTTTTCTTATAACTTAACCGGCGGTTTCTTATAGTTTCTGAGATATTTAAAGTTATGATTTCACAATTTTAATGATTTTTCTATTATAAAATAAAGAAAAATAAAGGTTGTTTACATTGTATTTATGTAGATTACACGTGGAAAAAGTGTTTCTTTACATTTCCAGAGACGAAACTCTTTGGGTCTTTTTACTTTTCACGCAAAGCGAGGTTCAACGCAAACCTATGTGTCTAGTTTTTTTATAGTGGAGCCCACTGCGTCCACGCATATACTTTCTCATCCACACAACAATTGTGGGGCAGACTTCGCTTTGCTTTGTAAAGTATATGCGTGCACACAGTGGGTTCCGCCCCCCTTACGGGGGGGTTATACTTTCGGAAGATATAACCTAACCCAAACCAAATTTTAGTTTTAAATCAGAAATAGGTTTGGGTTAGGTTATATCTTCCGGAAGTGGAGACCCCCCGTAAGGGGGGGGGGCGGAACCCACTGCGTCCACGCATATACTTTCTCATCCATGCAACAATTGTGGGGCGGACTGTCTCTCTGTCTCTATATTATTACCCAAATGTTAACTTTAAATATCTCAGTAACTATATATACATGTATATACAAGATTCTAACGTGTATATATATAATTGCATTAAGAAGCGCGAAAAATCACACAAATATAAAAACGTCGATGAAAGTACCAGTAAAATGTTGATGAAGATAAACGTGTCGTCTGACGGGAAGAGTGACTTTCCTACCCCGGTACTTTCGATAGACTAATAGAAGATCTAATATAGTGTCGGCCCCGTAAGAGTTCACCCTTCTGTATCCATAAAGGGCCGATCGTTCCTCAACAACGCGACCGCGCTGCCGCGAATAAGAATTAATGGAGGCCATGACCTCCCTCGTGATGTCTTCCAGACCCTCTTTGATGTCGCTATGAATACGTCGCCTTGGATTGGAATCGATCAAACTGTATTCCAGCCTCGAAAGAAAGTCCCACGGAATCACTTCGTCGCTCGTCGTCGGTTTGAACGAACGTAAACTCGCTGGCACACCTGCGCAAACAAGATTTTATTTAACGAATCGATGGATCCGGTTTTCTTAATTAACATCAATTGTCAAAATTGCGTCTCTTAAAAATGCATCGCAAAATAAAACTTAAAGCTGGTGAATAGATAAAAATTCTTGTAAAAAATGTTGAATGAAAATTATTTAAAATTTATTATACGATAAGTTTCTTTCTAGACTTCATATTTGAATTTGTCAAATATGAAGTCTAGAAAGAAACTTGTCGTATAATAAATTTTAAATAATTATATATCGCTATGTTTACGCAAATTAAATTATTTACAAAGTTCTTACTTTTTTACTTATAAAAAATATAAAATTATACTAAAGTAATTTTCCACTTCAAAGTATATAAATTTAATTTCACATGCTTAATTTTTCTTTTAAGATTTCTTACAAAAATATTTTAAGCTATATTTATGAGATTTAAAACTAAAAACCAGAGAGTTTCATTTTGAAGACAAAATATGACATATAAATGTCAACTTTATTTCTGACATTTTCAATCGATCTTTTTAATATTAAATTGCAGATGTTTTATTAAAATCGCGTTATTTTATACCAAAAATCAAATACGGATATAATAACATTTAAAAATCACAAAGAATTAATTAAGAGAAGCAAGTGAATGTGGTAATTTCATCTCAGATCTCAATGTTTCTCGAACCGCAAACACAACTGCAATTCCATTGGAACATTATATTCACCTCTGTTTTCAGTCGGTTAATTTATATTTATGGCAGATTCTTATACAGGTGTTCTAAAAAAATGTTTAGAAAATTTAAGGAGAGATTATACCCTGATCAAAACAAAAAAGAATTTCTCATAAATATGTATCTGGAAAAGCTTTGTTTCAGAATTCAGAGATACAGGATGTTGAAGAAAAAATTAAAAAATGAAGTTTTTTCTAAGTATCTCTTTAAGTGTCTCTCTTTCTCTGAAATTTCTTTGAAAGGTGCATCAAAAACTATTTAATCTTAGTAGAAATTTAATTTCTTAATGCAGTGACGTACTTTTACTTAGGGAAAACTAAAAATTTTGTTTCTAACTATCTAACTACATGTAAAAATGGCAACAATAATATTACTCCAAAACTACCACAAATTATAACCTTTTATTATATATAGTACTATATATTCTTAAAATTTCAAATTTTAATGTACAACGATTGTCATTTTCAGAAACAAAGCATTTCCGGACACATGTTTATACGAACATTTTTTTCTTATTTTGGATTCCTGGGGAATCTCCCCTTAAATTCTTTTAACATCTTTTTAAAACACTCTGTATATGAGAATTATGTAGGTCAACGCGCCAATACGATGACCGCATAATCTGCGAGAGATATAGGACATAGAAGTGATTGAAATAACAATGATAAATCTCTTTCAATCATTTATGTTGCATTGAGACTGTATGCTCATTTTGTGTTCTTATATTATTTGATTGGCCATCAATTCATATGAGCTAATCTAGTTGTGAGAGAGAGAAAGAGAGTAGATTTATTAATAAAAATAAATTTTCTACCAAGACACAATCACAAAGACACACACACACACACACATTCTTAAGATCATTGACTTAATCGATTTGCAGAGAGAAATGTGTTTTAAAGATTCAAATATTATTAACAAAAAGATTCAAATATCAACAACAAAAATATCAATAACAAAAAGATTCAAATATCATTAACAAAAAAATATTAAATTTTTTTTTCTGTGAATTTTCTGTGAATAAAACAAGAGTTAATTTTCAAACCTTGAAATATTTTCTTACTTTTATCATTTTCTTTTGCCAATATATTGCCATAACTTAACAATGTAATTTTTTTGAATACCAAATTAAAAAATTATTCTAACATTTCTTTTTCTTTTTTTAAAAAGTACCAGCTGTTTTTCAAAAATTAAAATAAAGATATGTATAAATACATGTATATGTATTAAACTACAAAGAATACAGAAAATGGAATTCAACAGTTGTAAAGCGTATCCTTGATTTCAAAGATAACGAATTCGCAAGATACATCGTAAGATACATAAATTCAGTCTGAGATTTATAATCCATGTATTTGTTGTGGGGTTATTCTGTGACAGAGACAAGAACAAAACATGGTGAAATGTAACACGAGGAGATGCAACGCAATGATAAATACAAAGTTATGCATCGCGATTTTCTCTCGTCTCTCCGCAAGATTGCATATCCGGTTTCAAATAGGTTTATAATACCTTCGTCCCTCTCTCTCCCGGAATATGATTTGATGCGGTGTCCCGTGGTATAGTGTATAGTTACCCATGCACGCGCAGTAAAAGCGGAAATTATTAATTTAATAGCGATATGCAGTAAAAGTTATATGAAATAAAAAAGTGTGGGGGTCATTATTGTCCTCAAGATATCTCATGCTTCGAAAAATCGCAGAAATGTTAATAGAGAGAAAATAATGATTTAAACATTTTGCAAAATTATGTAACATAAACATTGCAACTACAAAAAATTTATGAGATAAACCATTGCTATTTTTTAGTTATATGTTTGTAAATTTGTTGATGTTTACAAGTTTATTTTTGACTATATACAATTTGAAAATAATCGGTGAACGTATCTAAAAGAAGACAAATAAGAGTGTTTTTTCTTGAATTGCAAAGCTTCGCTTTTTGTACTGCAAAACTATATAATACTAATTGATTTAAGATGCGAAAATTTTATAATCTGTGGATATTTTTATAATCTAAAAGGTAACACTTTTTAGCTGTTTAATGACTCGCGGTGTAAGTTCTATCCTTTCTGTCTTTATAAGCTGTATAATATACATATAGATGCATACACGACGTACAGTTCGGCTTTTATAGCCGGCTTGCGATAGCGGAAGCGAGAAATCACCTAGTATGTCCGTGTCGCCGGGGTAATCTTCGGAATTAGGATCAACCGGAAAAAGACGTACACCATCCGCTATTTCGTAATTCCTTAAAGTTTCAAGGTTCACTCCCAATTCCTGAGCCATTGTATGAATATCTCTATGCAGATGAATCCTCTCTTGTTGCAGGTCTTGTATTCGCAGTCCCTGCAAAATTTTACCAATTTAATCAATTAACAGAAAACACATATTATGTACACTACATGACGATAATTTGAATATTAACGATACAATTATAACAGTAACAATCTGGATATCAAAAATACAATTTGAGAGAATCGAGAGCAAAATGATTCTTCTTCGCATCATTCACGCAATTTCGCTCGTTACGCATGTAACGGTTATCAGCAGGTTATTCTACAGTTACGGATAAGTAAAATGTAGCGGCTAGTTTTTCCTGTAATTATAGTGATTATCATAATTATAATACTTGACACTAACCCTTATATAATTGTGCAGCCTGTACATGTGAGGCGGACTTTTCACAGGATGCAAAGTAATGGCACGGTGAACTTCCTTTTTCTTGAGATTTCCGGTAAACGCCTGAGCCCCGCTGCTATTGTGATAAAGAATGGACTGCATCTACGGCAATAAGTAGATTGCGTGAGTGATGAGTTTGAAGTACGAGATCGTGCCTATTTATTGACGCAAACTAATTACTTTTATTATTTTTTTATGGCAATTATTAAAGTCAATATATCTTTACATTTAAAACATCAAGGCAAAAATATTATCTGATTTTTATTTGCAACTTCACAAATCATATCTCGCAATTCTTCCATATCTTTAAAATTTAGATAAATTAAATAAATAAATAACTATAGAAAGACTCCTTAAATAGGTAATTAAATTCGCGCGGACAAAATCTTTTGTGCCAAAACTTGCACGGTCTCTCTTATCCGATAATTCTTGATCGACACGCTGGCCGAAACTAGTTTAAGAACGACAAATTACTCGATTGAATCGCGCTCTCGCTTAATCATTGTGACAATGGTATCGCGTCTGTCGATTCCGTGCGAGACGATTGTATTAGTCCATCCCGAATGTCTGAATGCACGCACAAGCGAGCCTCGGCAAATGGCAATTAGCACGAACAGAAGCGAAGTTAAAGTACGAACTTCCTGCCTGTGTGTGCACTCTACGACATACAATAATTACTATTAAGAACGTTCGTTATTGTGTGTGCGATGTCTCGCCCGAAATGTCGAACCCGCGAAGCGTGTTAATCAGCCCGATACTAGGTGTGGTGGTTTCTTGTTTCACAGAATTACGTCGGCGGTTCTTGAAATAACGACAAGCATCTCTCTTAACGTTTGGCTCCAACAGTTGTTGCGATGTAAAAAAAAATTCTTGTGCTTTAACCTTCCCCACCCCCCAACCCTGCCAGCTGAAATGTAAAAATTCTCAATTTTCAGGTTACAGATAAAAAATCATTGGAAAAACTCGAAATATAATAGTTAAAAATTTCTGAGATATTTTCGACAATGTGTATTTTTATTATAAAACTGATTTTTTGATATCAAAAATTTATTTTTATTTTTATTAAATTTATTTTTATTTAATCTAATTATGTACATATATTTTTCGTATATTTACGTACATTTATATATTTTAACAACAAATATATTTTTTATATAAATGCAAATCGACATTAGATTTTTTTCAAGTTACTTGTGAATCTTCTATATACATTTTCTTGCTAAATCATGATTCCATGAACAGAATAATGCTTCTTTTAAGATACGCATATTTTATAAATTCATTTCATGGAATACTGTGAAAGAGATTTAATAAGATCTCCATTTAGATTACTGATTTAATATTTCATTCAACTTTCGCTATCGCTACTAAAGACCCCTAATTTCGCGGAATTAACGTCGCAGCGCTTTGTTGATCTTTCCAACGTCCTCAATTAGACGCAGTAACAAAGGCATTGCCAAGATCGTAAATCCCTTATCGAATCTCGCGCACGCTTCGATCAATCAATCGCGGCGCGCATTAAACGGGCAAAAATTGCCAGCGTGCAAACATAGTGTAGGCGTAGCTTGCATGTCGCACACACGGACTGATTGTTAAGTGTTTCGACCTTACGTCGAGTGTCAAGACGGGCACGAATGGTTCTCCAGGCAGTAGGTTAGCAGGCTACGATTTGTTCGGACCTTAACGAGTAACATCCTCATCTCCGTGCACTTTACCTTTCGTCCGTCGTAATATCACCACAACGCGTGTCATATCGAGATGCACCCACGCAAGTGCATAGGCAATCATATTCCATATTGCGTTCGTAGCAAAACAATACTATCGCGTTTATCTTTTTATACGTATTTCAGATGAATATAATTAATTATTATTTTTTTTTATCGTTGATAATAAATGTATTATATTAAATACATACTCATGACTCTCTGCACCTCTGTTTGTACAGATTCCTTCAAATTTTATCCATATATCTTTTGGTATCAGTTTGCAATTTAGAAATTGATATATCCATTTGGAGAGAGCCAGTGAATACATTCGGCGATTAAATTATTATACAACTATTCGTAAAATAAATTTTACGTTTTCATCAATTACACAGTTCTTGCTTTATCTCGAAATCTATATCTTCTTGTAGATATTTTCTTTTATGATGATTCGCGCATCAATTTTATTTGATTATCGCGACATACGTCTCGAAGGTTCAAGCACTTCGTGGCGCAAATTGTTACTTAAGCGGTACGACCGAGTGTCAAGATGGAGAAGAATGGTCTTGTTCTGGCCACTAGGTTAGCAGGGTACGATTCACTTTTACTTAACGACTAACATCCTCATCTCTGCGTGCATCGTACCTTCCGTACCTAATCCATCTAATAGCGTACCCAAACTGCATAATGCAGATGTGTAGAGTATTTAAACCGGTAAATATACAACACGCTAGGCGTACACCCGTTATGTGAGTATTGCGCTCTGATTCCTGATTATATAACTCATTACGCGAAATCTGATTCTAATTTAAACGGTGAAAAAAAATTAATTCTTTGGCATAAATATCCTGAGATTACATGAAGAAACGCATGAGAAAATCAATTATCTCAATTAACTATTACGAAATGAGCGCATTATCGGGGCATCAGCAAATTAGGAAAAAAAAATTGATTTGATTGCTACTGGCAATTCATTGTGACACATGTCTAATTCACCGTGCATACGCCTTAATCAAGAAATCGTTAGGCGTTTCTGCGGATTCCTGCACGCGAGAGAGCCTATGAGACGACGAAGAAAGAACGACCAAAATAACTTTAGTATCGCGTGATAATACAACGGACAAAATAGTCACATAGTTCGTAGAACTCTGAGAGTAACAAGAAAAGCCCAGCATTATGTGGTATGTATATCCTGTTGACTTTTATGAATACAATAGCAGAATTAAATTAATATTGTAAAGGACACGCAATAACATGACATAAATTAATTGCAAATTAACGATTAAATTCTGTACCAACCGATTTATTGGAATATTTTTTACCGGTTAAATATACCATAGTTACCATCGAGATTTCATTGAAATTACGTTTCATCTCGATCTTGAAAAATAGATGGTATCAGCCAAATATGTATGAAATCAAGGTGCAATAATGTTTTGGTAATCAACGAGAGATAGCATTCAACATGTACTTTAGGCGATAAGATAAAAAGTACACGAATTATCTATCTGCGTATGATATGACGCACTGTGTTCTTAGTAACAAAACGAACGAATCGATAGACTGCGATATATATATGCTCTTTAATTTATTTAATTTAATTTTTATTTTTATAAATAGTTATCTATTTTTCTGATTCGAACAGCTTATCTCCCCATCCTTTAATATTTTTGAAAAATGCAACATTTGAGCTATCAAGAGATTTTTTTGTCATAGTTTTTGAAGATATTTTTTGAAAATATCTTCTTTTGAAAAAGATAAATTCTTCTTATGAAAAACTATTTCTTCATTGTACTCTACCGCTCTCGTTTGTTTGTAAATAAATATTCTCTTATCTGTTACGTCTTATCTGTACACGATCATATTAACGTCGCTTTTCCATACACATCAAAATCGAGAAACAATTACCTCGTAACTCCAAGTACAGGGAATCCCCGCATATTTTTTCACGCATCTGCCTAGCTCGACGTCCTCGTGTGTGGTGTACAAATGGCGCAGGCAGTACTTGATGTGCGGTACGATCCTCCCGAGCGTCTCTCTGGACAATACTACTCCAGGACCACCCATACAGAAATTCTCATCGTACTCCAACGACAGCAGCCCGAATTCTTCCGAATTGCCTCTGCCGGCTTGTCCGATGTACATCGCCCTTCTAGAATCGACGGATCTCAGCAGCTTCTCCAACCGATCTGTCCTTACATATACATCGTCGTCTGCTCTCAAGAACCACTCGAAGCGATCGCCGAAGTTGTTCCACATGTACTCCAACATCATGAAAGATTTCTTCTGCGGCGGATAAGTGTCATCCACTCGTGGAAGCGGCACCAAAGGTAAATCGGGGCAGTTTTCAGGTACCGTCGAGGATTCCGACGAGAAGAAGGCTATCTTGCCGGGCAAATCCTTGCCCCAGGTTTCATAGACGGCCTTGGCTCGCGTGTCCAAGTACTTTTGAGCCGTCATCACGCCAACGAACAAGAGACTCGAAGTGGAGCTGTTGATTCGTTCGTCGTCTTTTAATCTCGGCATGTTTCGAACCGATGCTTTTGGCGGTGATCGTAAACCAGGCATGGAGGTCCAGATGGCGAATTGTTGTTGTTGATTAGAGAGAGTCAGGCGGTAGCTGAGGATCAAAAAACCAAGGATCAGGCCTACGAAGAGGCCCAGAAAGGCGCTGCCCAGTCCACGCCGTTTCCGCATCACTGGGTACGTCACCTCTCCCATTTGCTCTCTTTAGGGGTCCCTGGGTCCTCGGTCGGATTCATCCTTGACATGGCGCCAACGATTGCCGATTCAGGTATAGTAATAAATCCTGATAGAGGATATCCTTTGGGCAATCCCATTGTTCCGACCGCTGCTAAAATGGAAAGACTTTCTTCAAGATGTAGAGCATCTGTAAATAAAATCCGTTCTACATTATTTTAGATAGTAGAATGTAAAAAAAATGAAATATCTTTTTCTTCCGAATTTTTTATATTATTCTTGTTAATCTATTCTCTCTCTCTCTTTTTCTCTTTCAAAGTAATTGCATTTTTATCAATATATAGTTTCTATGATTTTCTGCATAAATATTTTAATATTCTTTGCATCAATTTGATCAATGTAAGTAAATATTATAATGTAAAATTTTACGTGGAAACGATAACGTGAGAGACATCAACCTGACTTCATTTTCTACATATTTTTATAATTTGATTGCGATTTTATTCATTTATTTATTTTTTTGTTATTAATTTTTTTTTGTATATTAATTTATTAATTTAATAAGTTAATTTATAAAGTTAATTATTCGTTTGCGCTTAGGATGATCCGAAGAAGGGATCGGAACATACATACTCTCTATGACTTTTAGTTATTAAAATAAATATATGCGCCATAATTACCTCACATTGGCTCTTATTGCCTTTGTCTTAATTTGTTTAGTACTTTTAGAAGAATCTTTTATTTATTATTAAAATGTAAGCTTCTTATCGCAAATTATTCTTTATATTTCGGAAACAATGCAGTTATTATAGATTATACATGTGTAATATGTATTATAATTATCATGTACAAGATACAATTATATTTTACTATATTTCATTATAAATTAGTATATCGTTGGAACAGATGGCATACTATCTTGAAAAAAAGAGAAGCAATATGTTTAAACTCTTAAACGAATTCTGCGAAAAACCTTGATTTACGTTTCGTGTTATTCGTAAAGTAAACTTCGGCTGTTTGAACTATACGTTTCTCTTCGCGAAACTGCCTCTTTTAGTCGATTAGTCATTCTCCTTTTACTTAAAAAATCTAATTATTCTCGTTGCATCGACATTCAGTAACAACCTTGAATTATAATGAATAAGTATATAAGCAGATCACAGCAAAACTCACATCAAATTTTTGCTTCAAGTTGAAGATAATCGCCATATCGTGCCAGTGATCTCGTAGAAATTATGCAATTGAAATGCGATAATCTGCCTGCGATAATCTAAAAACACAGGAAATTATAAATTTTCAAACGTATCATTGAAAATTAACATTCACGAAGAATTAAATCCAATATGTACAGCTACATATGGCTTTGAAAAACGAGGTCGCAAGCATGTTAAGCAACGAAGACTTAAACCGACGTCAGCAATTAATACCCAGTCATTTTTCACCATCAAGCATTATTTGCGACGAACGCTTCATTATAACATCAATCACGACATCAACAGAAGGGTATATTATTTTTTTATAGTAGCTTGATCTCAGTAAAGTAAAGTCAATTAGTACTTAAGATAAGATCCCATGTTTCCGATTATATTAATCCATCATGTTTTACTTATTACAATTATTTACTATATTTTTTTTATTCTATATTTTATGCGATTGCAATTATCATGTATAATTTACATATTTATCCATAGAATGCTTATCTCTTTTTAATTTGAACAAAAAACCCTAAGTCTTAATGCAATTATCGGCGTGTCGCACGAAAACGATACAGATTACAGATTCGAGAAAAATATTTCTGCATGATTAGGTATTTAATGCCCAGCACTACCCATGACCTGCGATAACGAAAATGAGAACAAAGCGGGCTCTATGTATCAGGTGATTGCATAAGTTCGTGCCCGATTTAAATATAAACTTCAATAGATTATATTTTAGAGATAACACTTTTATTAATCAATTATATAGTCTCCATTCTTTTCTACAATGGTTTTCCAACGATCTATAAGCTTGTCGATTCCATTTTTGAAGAAAGAACTTGGTTTTTCTTGAAAAAAGTTAGTAAGGTGGTTTTCGACAGCTTCCTCGGAATTGAGATTCTTGCCATTTAAACTATTCTGCAAAGACCGGAACAGATAAAAATCCTAGAAAGTCATAAAATATAGCCGGCCAAACTGTGTGTCCAGAAATGAGAACCCGACGCCGTTATAAGACTTTCTTCGGCGAATTAAACGCGCCGGTTCTGTTATTTTGACGATCCAGGAATACGACATTCCGTTTGCGAATCCGCAAATCACTAGCGTATATAAGTATTTTATATTATATCTGTAATTAATAACTGGATTTTTACCAAATATTTTTACTGGATTTGAATTATATGCGTCTTTTTTCTCCCTGTCACTTTAGCCGTATTAGTCGTACCAATGTTTGCAGTCGGAAAAGAAAATATTTGGTGATAAAATATTTTTTCAGCAAGCGATTTCACGGTAAGCATTTTTGCGGACATTTCATTTAAGAAATAACCAAACTTGGAACGATTTTCGCCGCAAAGTTTAAAAGGGACAATGTATTCATTTCTTTTTTGTTTAGAGAATCCTTCCTAAATCGCGCATCTCCACATCGTTATCCCAAATTTATTCCCTTCCAAATCGGCGTAGACAAAGGCTCGACTCTTGGCAAAACCGGTTTCAGGTCAGCTAATAAACATACGTGTGCATATCGACAAAGTAACTGTGAGTAATGAGCTGCTCTTCAACGGTTTTTTGCAATTCTGTCGAGCCACGAAGGCATGTAACATCATCAGTTTCCTCGTAACACTCGTGTCACCGCGAAAGAAAAATTTTAAGAATTTTTTTCGAACGTCTTGAGAGAATGTCAAATTAATATAGAATATATTATGTACATTTTTGTGTAATATTTAATATAACGTGGCGGCAATTTTTCTGACGTGACACGATTGACTCTTTGGTGATATTTCAGATACTCCAGGGTCGATTCTTGAAAAAATCAAGATAATACTCGAAAAAAATCAAGATAATACTTCCGATGAATAATTGAACTTGTGTAATAATACGTACTCTTCGTTAATTCATTATTTATAAGATCGTGACCGCCTATTATCGTCGATTGTTTCTAAGTTACTTTCGCACGCTTGTTTCCGTTCACACATATTACGCAGGAATTATTAGAGAGAGGGACGCGTAAATTGCCCTTAAAAATTCCTTCAAAGGTCAGTTAACTTATGCTTACGTTACGCGCAACGCGGCCTACGATTCAAATTCGCTCTAATCTAACGCTTAATCATCTCGTTTTTCTCGCATATTTATTAAATTATTCACGAATAATACATTTTAAGTCATCTTACAATTACACTTCTCATTAAAAAAGCACACGACATATTTCTCCTCATTAAACACCGCATGCATATCTCACTCTCAGAATAAAATAATAAGTATAAAAAAAATTATAATTAAGTTGCACAAATCACATATTTTTTACAAAAAAAAAGAATTAATATTTTACACAGAAACGTCACCACCAATCTCGCGCATTCAAAATCACCAAATCAAAGATAACGCAAAGATAGAAAGACACAAACAATCGGTTGTAACTTGTGGAAAGAAATACCGAGTATTGATTACAACGCTTCCCTTTCCGCGCTTCTTCCGGTATTACAAGGAGAAAAACATGCTGGTCAGATGCGAGAACCGTTATGAATAAAAATCGCGCTCTGTCGTCGAAGAGAAGCTGCGAAGTAGCCGTAGATGCGGTAATCGCGATTTACACACTCGACCTCTCAAATCCACGAAATCCCGGTGTTCGTCCCGTTAAAGGATACGCTCCGGAGTGACGTGCACGAACGAACTCGAGTAGAGGAACGTAAGAAAGGCGGGAGAACCGGTTTAAGCCGAAAGTCAGAGTCGAAGAGCGCCGCTAGATCGTGCGTTCGGAGCACGCGGCGTCTAGCTGATTACAAAACGAGGAAGCGATGGTATATCGTGTGCATTTTAGGTCAAGGTGGCCCTTTAAAATGAAAATTGTCAGCATAGCGAATGCCACATGAAGACGAAAGAGCGTGATCGGAAAAGGAAACGGTAAAATGACAATCGCTGAAACAGTTTGATCGATAGTTGCTCCGAAATTCACATTAATCGTATTTTAATATTTAATTGTAAGAAGATTAGTATTTTATATATTTAAAATATACTTAATCATACGCGGAAAATATCAAAGTTTCTTTCCCATTAACAATTGAAAAATTAAGAAATCAGAGCAAAGAATTTCGTGAATTTTTTGTGGTACTCGTGAAGATTTCTCGTCATCAAGTGAGTCTGTGTTTGTTAAGTTGCGGCTGTAGATATTTCCTTTATGATTATGTAAAGATGAACCATATGCCACAGATAAATAGGCATTTTCAATTTTTATAAATGCCGATTGTAAAGATGAATCATATGTCACAGATAAATAATCATTTTCAGTTTTTATAAATGCCGATTGCTTGGTAAAAGTAGTGAAATAAATTATATGACAAAATTAATCTTAAAGAGAATTTTTTTTCACTCTACAGTTACTACAAATTAATTTTTTCTTATTCAAAATTAAATTTTATTATTTATATGTTTTGGACCTCTATATATAATTATAAATTCCTATAAGTAATAATTTTGACATTAATTAATTTCAGGAGAATTACAAAAATTATAAAATAAAATTAGCATCGCATATTAAATTTACATTTGTATCAGTTTTAAATATCTATCTCGTAAAAAATAACAGTAAACTGAAAAGAAATTTCGCTTTTCGTCGCCCTTTTTGCAAATATTTCTAAAAATGCGTCCATAAAAAACGGTAATCCGCACATCAAGTGATATGGAAGATATACTGGAAGATCATGTTCGACGCATATGGAGCTCTCGCAAAAGCGGTTGGTAGCGTCTCGCAACAAAACGACCGGGTGTCTGGAGACGCGTCGCGGTTAGTCAGCCGCGAAAACCGTCGGTTTACATTAACGACGATGATGGTTACACGCCCTTCAGATCGAGCCGCCGAGTAGTCGTTCCCAAGAGAGGAGGAGAAGTCTTCTTCGCTAATTGTTCCCACAGACGGCGAGACGCAGAATTGTTCGTCGGCTGACCGCAGATGACGGGTACGACCAGATTGTCGCGGTCATGGCACGGAATCGAAGAGACGGGAGGGGAAGATTCGATCCCGACCGGTGAGCTGGACGATCGAAGAGAAGAAGTCATCGACTCTTCTCTTCCGCGGCTCAGGACACGGACGGACCTATAGTCTTGCTATTCGTCAAACGACTTTATTTCTCATGCTCTAGCACGTCGGATCCTCGTGGGTATACCACCAAATACTCTCACCGAATTTAATCTTATCGTGCACGCGTTCAAGTTTAAGTGGATTTTCTCGAATGACGTTTGGGACGCCGTTTTATCCGGAACATATTTTCCCCGGTGACTTGAGATGTGCGATAAGTGAGTTTGACTCCAACTTGAAACTTTATGTAATTTTAATTCTAATCCAATTTTAAAGTAAAGGATATTTTAGCGAATGGAGATATAGAATATCTATGGACTATCTTGGAATTGTTGAAGAAATCATACAATAGTTTAGTTTAATGACACAATATGACATTTAATATTTTTAATCTTACATAATAATAATATTCGTATATCATCTTACTGTTTTATGAACAGTTTATCTATTGAGCGATATGGACGAAAAATGATACAAAAATTGATCTCCGAAGCTTTCCCCAAAATTTCTAATTTGCAATCAATCAAATGAATATTTCGTGTTTCTTCTCCTTGTTACGAGAAAGTGTATAAAAAATTGAGAAAAATCAATTTGATATTTATTAGAATTAGAATTAAGAATTAAGAGTTTAAGAAGAAAAGAGAAAGGGTACATTAATTCTGGTTCACTGCATTTGAGATATGCCATTCGATTATTGATTGAATAAGTTGCAGTAAATTAATAAACAACAAAAGTGGAGAAATCGTTGCATTATAAAAAACTCGCTTATAAAAATTATTGAAAATATACATACATTATCTATGTAAATTCCATTTTTTTAAAAAGATACATTAAGCTTATTTTTTATGTTCAATCGTTACGTCATCTTCGCGTTTCCGTGAAATATATGTATGTGATCAGAGGCAAAAACAAATATCTCTTTCCAGGAACTTACTTTTTAGAACATCACCAACTGTTCTTTTCGTCAATGCCACCCACACTGTTTCCGTCCACGCACGTGGTGCTGTCGCCTTTCACGACGAAAAACGTCGCGCGCGCGTTATACTTCGCTCCAGCAACCATAAACCACCAGGAACCACAAAATCGAATCCGCACGAATTCACTCACAGACGACACAAGACATAGTTTTAATAGTCTCTTCCTTTCTCACCATTCGGTTTATTGTTGATTATTTTTTTCTTTTTATAATTCAATAATTCAGTTTTAATCGGCACGACTTACCGCTGCTCTAAGATTTAAATAAAGAGAAAGAGAAGTTCCTAAAAAATTGTATAAGAGAAAAGAAAATGTTGTATCGTTCTACAAAAAAAAAAAAAAAAAAAAAAAAAAATAGATTTTAAAAAAATTTTTGAAGAAAAAA